GAGAGTTGCGAACAGCGCGTCAATCAAGACAACGGGCAGGACAAGGCCGGTTCCAGTTTCTAGATCCATGGAAAGAACTTCTCAGCGAACATCGCTATCGTCGAGGACTGACCATCGCAATCCTACTTATGGTGCTTCAACAATTCTCTGGCTTTGTGAGTACTCCCTAGAGCATATACTAGCCGGTGCTTGTAACTAACCTCTGTTTGCAGACTTCACTCATGTACTTCTCCGCTACAATTTTCGAGCTAGTCGGCTTTAAGAATCCAACTTTGGCTTCAGTAGCTATCGCCTCAACAAACTTCACCTTCACCGCCATTTCACTCGTCCTTATTGATAGAGTTGGCAGACGACGTATGCTTCTTCGGTCTCTCCCGTTCATGATTCTCGGATTGTTCTTAGCGGCAGCTGGATTTCATTCTTTGTCGACCGGGGTATCACCCAAGTTACCCCAGCAGCCAGACCGCGGTGGAGGTGCGATCATCGTGCTGACAAGTATTGTCCTGTTTGTGGCTTCATTCGCCTTAGGCCTAGGGAACGTCCCATCTATGCAGAGTGAGCTTTATCCGCTTGCAGTTCGATCTTTGGGCAGTGGCGTAGCTATGGCAGCTGCCTGGAGTAGCAACTTCATCATTGGTCTGACATTTCTGCCATTGACTGATGCCTTGACCCCAACCTGGACAATGGTGCTGTACGCAGGATTATGTATCCTTGGATACTATCTTATTTACCTCATGTACCCGGAAACGGCGGGCTTGAGTATAGAAGAAGCGGCGGAGCTTCTCGAACACGGGTGGACAGTTAAATGATTCTAAGTATCATAGTGCAACTACCTGGCTGCTTTCAAGGACCGGTGTTGGTCAAGACTTGTCGCCACTAGTTGTGTTTATTGGATATGTCCTTCAATGTCTGGGTCTAGTACGATTCCATAGCTAGTTGCAGCGGGATATATATTGTGAGTCTTTATGCTCAGTATAGGTCATGTATGTATTTACTAATTTACTCAGGCGAAATATTCCATCCAGTAGGCTTAGTTAGCTTATGGAGATGCTGCACTTGTCGATGTAATAAATAGACAATGAACATGATATCTATATAACTAGATAAAAAAGATAAGAGCTAGAATCAGATTGAATTTTTCTTTCTTAAAAAATAAAACAGAACACAGGGAATAAAGTGGAGCTAATATGAAGTCGCAAGACTCCAGACAGCTCGCGAGACGTGGGATCTACAAATTCCTGCTTGTTGGAAGCTGTGTAGCACTAATAGCAAGAGAACCACCGAGCAGAATCAGGATGACCCAGACAAGATAGCCGTCCATGATCTGATCACGGACACCAATTGCAAAGATTATTGTACTAATGGCCGGAACCACAGCTCGAACAAGACTAGAAGCTGATTCTGCAATTGCATTGAGAGTCCCCAATGTGCGCGGGTTAGGCGCTACTTCTTGAAGTCCCAGCTGCACTGCCGTAATGACCATGAAGACACCAGGTCCCAGGAGTGTCATTGCGCCCAACACAGCTTGATACGACATAAAGGCCGCTGGACTTCCATTGCGAAGGAAGGCGTTCATTACGATATAGCCGGCAAAGAAGAGGGGAAATGCGACGACACCGGCAAAGATGATACCCTGGGTGCCAAATCGACGGTGCAGAGGAGGAAATAGAAGCAAGAGCCAGACAGCCTCGGCAGCACCCTGCACCGCCATGTACATGGCAATCTGATGGGCCGAGAATCCCATCCCACCACGACGTACTCCTGTATATAGAGTAAGACTCCCAACAGCCATGAAGGCGGACCCAATCAGCATGACGTGGACGAAGGTGCAGAGCATAGCTCCAACGCCCGGCGCCTTGACCAGATCCCATATGGAAGCCCAGCCAAAACCTGATGGAGTGGCAAGATCGTCGGCGTACGAAACAGACTCCCTTTCTTGTCTCGTCTCGTCGACGCAGAATGCGATGATGACTGCACTCGTGGCGCTCATGGCTCCCAAGGCTATCCCCGGCAATGCAAATGGAAAGGCCTCAAACAATTCCATGCCCCTACATACCGCTGGATATTGGCTCACCGGGTTAGCAAGCGCGCCGCCGATCAGAGGGCCAAGGAATAGTGCCAAATTGCTCGCCAAGGAATACCAGCTGAATGCCCGGGTCCTCAACTCGGTCGTTGCGCAGCGCTCCGCTATCATCGCCCTTATGACAACATTGCCTCCCGATACCAGTCCCGTAAAGCACCGGAATAATGTCATTGTCCATAAAGAGGAAGCAAACCCAAAAAGAACAGACCCGGCTGCGGTGCCCAGAAGACTCCAGACGAGCATAGTCTTACCGCCTACTCGGTCTACCATAGAGCCCCAAAACACCAAGACCAAAGCCTGCGTGGCAGAGAAAAGAGACTCAATCAGGCCGCTATAGAAGCCGATTTCAGCCTCTGGTAGATTCCCATTACGCTCCACCATTTGGGCAATGTATGGAAATATGGAGAAGAAGGCCATCGGTTCCATAAGGCGTGCGAAACATAGCAGTAAAATCTGGAGTTGGGGGCTAGAAGAGATCTGATTCGATTCTGCATGATTGGGGGACCTTTGCGAAGATTTCGGCAAGTCGCAGATATACGAATGTGACGGATTACGGGAATGGGAGAGAAGTGGAGTTGTGGGATCCGGTTTTGTGTGCTGTGACATGATGCAGAACAATTTTGGCGAGAATTGGATATTTTGTTTGCTGTTGTAGTACTCTTTGGATCAATAGAGGAGTAGATTGGCTGCTCACATAAACAAAATATCAAGAGAGATAAGGATGAAAGATGTCGCGAACAAAATTGTTTTTCGCCTTTTTCTTTTCTTCTTTTTCTTTTTAGCACACCGCCTAATTCCAATGCCATTTCGAAGGACTAAAATCGCATAAAATGCGATCCAGGAGCCACTACAGTAACTCAATTCTCAGCCCCTCTAGAGGGAGACTGACACAGCAGTAGCCCTTCTTCCCAAGTGCGCTTGCCAAGCAAGAGGCACAAAAGCTCAAAGACAAATACATAGCCAAAAGGTCGGAGGTTGAGATTCATATGGCACACTTGACCATACCTCCGCGAGCAATGTCACCGGCGATCTCTTACGCCACCGCCCGAACGAGATCTTGGAGCCTGGGATACTGAAGCAGGTGTCTCACACTCAGCTCAACACCCGCCTTGCGAGCCAGCCCAACCAATTTCATGGCAGCGATGGAATTGCCGCCGATCATGAAAAAGCTGTCGCTCGGTGCAATTGTGGCTGGTTCAATGCCCAGGACCTCTCCCCAAATGTCCCGTATCTGGCCCTCGGCTTCCGAGACAGGCTGTGTAGCTAGCTCACGCCCTGTCGCCTGGCTTGCCATGATCGCCCGGAGCGCTCGGCGATCGACCTTACCATTATCGTTTAGGGGAATCTTGTCTAGAACTGTGATCGCCCTTGGGACCATGTAGGCTGGGAGCCGGGCCCGCAAGATCTGGTCCAGTTCTTTTTGGATCTCCTGTCTCACCTGGCGCAGCAGTGGTTGGTTGCAGAGAGCGGCAATCTCTCGATCCTGGTGATCAGTGGGGAACCGAAACATGACCCGGCTCTCTCCCTTGGCTGGCTGATTCTTGTGAAAGATGGCGTCGATGGCGCCGCGCTGGGAGAATTGCCGAGCCCAGCTGAGGTCCACACGGCAGCCTGCCTGGTCAGCTAATTCGACTAGATCAACAGCCGACATGGAAGCTTGCTTTTCAGAAGACTTCCGAGACACAGAAAGCCAGTCCGCATCATAATCACTAGCTTCTTCCTCTTGGTCGACAAGGCACGAAACAACATGGCTCGCGAAACTTGATTTACTGTGGCGAATATTGCTCACTCCAATGCATGATGAAGTGGCGATTCCACGATGCACGAGGCTAAGCAATGATTCCCTGCTAAGATTCTCAGCCTGGAAGTCGATCCACTGAATCCCGCCAACCTCGTGAATTACCCGACTAGGCTGGCCTTCAGCCTTGACGTGGATGACGGCTTCGTACCGAAAGGTGCTCAGTTCATTGGATGCACGCATCCGCTTCGGCAGAATCTCGACGTGTTCGATCTTGTCCATAACACCCGGTAGCCGGGTAAAAAACCCGGGATCGACCAGTAGCTCTGCTTCAGCTTGTCTCATGTCATCCATTATGCGACGAAACTCGTGCTTGGTGTCTTTTCCGCCGGTGACGTGACATGTCCTCGCCGCCAAAAACTCGTCATGAAGGGCCAATGAGCGAACATCACCAAAGAAAATCGCCTTTACTCCCTTCAGCTGCACCAGTTCTTGGATTACGTTGAGCAGATACGCTTGGTCGGGAAAGTACTGTATGACCGAGTTCAATATAACGAGGCTGGGAGACAGGGTACGACTAAACCGCCCAAGTTCGGCTGCCGTGCACTTGAACATGGTGACTTTGCCGGCTGCTGCTGGCACTGACTTGGAGGTGTTGGAGACAAAGTCTACTGCCCGTCCCGAAGGCTCAAGGCCAGTATAGCTCTCGAGCCCGTCGAGGAGATTGAACAGGATCATTCCAGAGCCAGTTCCAATCTCGAGAACATGACAAGATGGCTTTCCATTGCGAATTGATGCGATGGTATCGTCTAACCACTCATTCATCTCTCCTTTATCAATATCTCTCCCGTCATACATTGACGTCCAGCCCTGGAAGTCGCGTCCGATGGACTCGGGCTTCATTGACACGAGACTCATGTAGTCGTCGTTGAACCGCTGTTCCCATCCGTCTGTGTGTTGCACATTTCTGTCATTGCCATTTGTTTCTCGCTGCTGTGACACAGTCTGGCTGTCATCCTGGAGTGCAAGGAATCCGGCAATCCAAGGATCTTGATTCTCTTCGTCTACCAGGACGACAACGGCATCTTTGACGTGCTGATGGCTGCGGATGGCGTGCTCGATCTCTGCGAGCTCAACACGCTGACCTCTGATCTTGACCTGTTCGTCTTTGCGGTTGATGAAGAGCAAACTACCATCTGCAGCGTATTTCACTAGATCACCAGTCTTGTAAAGACGTCCACTGCGGCCCGGGTACTTGGAAGATCCCTGCGATAGCCATTTAGGGTTTTTAATAAAGGCCATTGTGGTCTTTGCGGCATCGTTCAGATAGCCTGAGCCTAAGAGAGGTCCTTCAAGTAGAAGTTCACCAACACTCCCCAGCGGGACCAAGAAATCATGATCGTCGGCCTGTGCGATCCATGTATTCAGCCCAATCCCTTTGCCCATTGAGGTAGCTTTCGCAGGGCTTGCTGGGTTGGAATTGATCGTACTGTTTGGCGTACATTCACAAGGCCCATACAAGCTCACGATCCGCACCTTTTCCCACCAAGGAATCACATCCTCGATGCGCAGTGCCTCACCACCAAATATGATCTGCTCAAGACCAGGAACCTGCTCCGGGCTCAGAATCCGAGACACAGATGGTGTGAGATCAATGGTATTGGCTTTGAGCGAGGCAATGCTCGCCGCCAGCCTGTTTTGCCGATCCAGCTCATTTGGAACGCAAAGGCACCCACCGACTGACAGTGTAGCAAATGTATTGCAAATAAACACATCAAAACTGTATGAGCAAAAGTCGTACATCCTTGTCTTGGCAGTAATTTTGAGGCTGCTCTGCTGGTGATGAAGAGCCGATGCGAGATTCTTATGTGTCAGGATTGTACCCTTCGGGGTTCCGGTAGACCCAGAGGTAAACACCAGATACATGGTAGATGACGGGGTTGGAAGTACATTTGGCTTTCGATATTCCTTTTCGTTCAGTTCCTGAATCATATGGGGGCCTAGAGCAACAACCTGCGGTGCAAATCGCTGACCCAAGGCCTCGTTTGACATCGAGGTAAAAGCCAGCTGAGCTTTGATTTGGCTAAGGATAATCCTCAAGCGCTGCTCTGGGGTCGACGGATCAAGAACCACAAAAGCCGCACCGGCTTTGAGTACGGCCAAGATGGACACGGTTGTCCACATTGACTTTTCAAAAAAAAGCGGAATGATTGCACCATGAGATACACCAAGTCCAACGAGGTGACTTGCCAGGCCATAAGCAAGACGGTCAAGTTCGGCGTAGGTCAGGTCACCATCCCAGGCGCATATAGCTTGTGCTGAGGGTTGGAGCAGTGAACGTTCATGAACTATGTCGTGAACGCAACGAGTGATTTCCTCGGGTACTCTTTGATTCCATTCCCAGACTTGGTCCAAGTCCTGTGCGGGTATTTTACCAGCGCCGTCAGAGTGTCCAACCATTTTTGAGTGGTTTATCAAGTCAAGTTGTGCTTGGCCAAGTTTAACAGTTGGGCGTTGGTTTATTGTTGACCAGGTTACTCATTTATCTTTGCAGTAAAGTGGCACTGAAAAGAAGCGAGGTATATTTATGCTGACATGTTTCTACAAATGGTCTGGAAAGCCTTAGTGGCTAGAGCACTCTCAGAATGTCTTCCACCCGAAGCAGAGAGCGATAAATTAGCAGCGCTCTGCTAGTCTTGGGTTGGCACCCGCCAAAACTCCTCTCCAAAGCTACGAAACCAGGCACGAAATGAAATATGGCCGCCAATACCAGTCAGTCATATTTTGTGGGGGCAGGCTTATCAAGTTCAAATTGGTCTTGGTGCATACCATTGCCTACCGACAACTGAGACACGTGTGCTGTTGAAATGCGACAAGAATCATTCGACAAGGGTGCGTATTTGCATTGAGAGATAGAGGCATGTACATTAGTACGCAGCAGGCGTTTGGACGCGGGGTTCAGGCTGCATGTGGCCGCAATCGGTTTCACCATCTCAGATCTGTAGATTGCCGCAGCAGGATCCATATGGAATGGCACACCGGTGAGCTAATCCCTACAGGTCCCGGGTACATTCTCCATCTCCCTGTCCCGTCAGCCCGTGTCCCCGTCCCGTCCTCGGTTACCCTAGCATTGTGCACGCCACCTTAATATTGGTTCATCTTATGCTTTACGGGAAATTGCGACATCATCTTCAAATTCGACTACCTGCATTTGTTCAGCTTCCACGATGCCCTCAGGCTTGAAGATCATGTACTTTTTCAAGACTATTCACACCGCTATTCTACTATTTTCTGCCTTAATTGGCTTCCTTGCCATCAGGCAACAAATTCTCCAAATTACCATGCTGGGGACATGAGACATCCTAGGCCCCCCTAATGGTCTCCTTTGCTTGTGCTAAGAGTCTTCCGCAATGCTAGGTACCCATAATGCGCGTTTCATTTCAGCGCTGGTCGCGACGCGCCCACTATCGATACGCCCACTATCGATACGCCCATGGCACGGGGAAATCTTGGAAGAAAAGCACTTTGTAAACGCTGTCCATCAATCGCCGTCTTATGTCTTAGGCAGTGAGACGAGGAAAGAAACAAGGTCTGATACTCTGAGACTACTTTCAAAGGATGGTACACCCGGCCATGATACATT